GTAAATATAAAAACATTTACATTAAAATAAAATGTTTATTTTTGACATTTCCTTTTTTTTTGTTTAATATTATAAGACGTTGATATTTGTATTATAAATAATCTCTCTTTACATTTTATATTTACGTGAAATAATAAACTTACATTACGAACCATCGTGTTTTTAAATAAAGATAAACTTGTATACAAATATTCGATAATGCTTCGTAAAGTATCGTATAAAGTGCAATAGGCATTCAATTTGCTTATATTCACTATTGCTTATTTATTCATTCATTCATTCGTTTATACACTCGTCCATTTATTTGTTGTCTCAATCTATCACATATTCATTTGTTCGAGCCAGTCGTGTGCATTCTTTTTCCTCCTCATTTTATTATCGAAATACACGACGAGTAAAGCGCGCTGAAACTTTATTTAATAAATTGTACCGCGATCTAGAACAATAAAATGCACTGTTTGCAAGATACATGTAGTAGTGAACAATCAATTAAGGAATATATATATAGTCAAATAATTTAATTTTTTAATATTTAATTGTTGTTACATTCTCTTTATTTGTCAGCTGGCTGACATCCTGAAGATAAATTTGTGTTCTGGTTATATTGGTTGATTGGCATGGAGAATTAATAAACTTAATTTTTTTTGCTGGCCTTATTCAATTTATATGCAAAAATAATTAAATTGCTTTTGAAGGAGATTATATTTCGTGTTCACGCTTCTTGTCTTTCTCTCTATTCGAGGAACTTTAAAGGTATTCGAGGTAAACAAAACATTTGCTATTTACTATCGAACTTTCGGAAAGAAAAACTCTATTCTCATTATCAGTACCGTGAGTTAACAAATTTTTTTATCACGTGGAAAAGAGAAAATAAAGAAAATAAATATTTTTTACGAAAATTCAAGAAAGTCACGAAGATAGATCTTTATCCGGGATTTTAATTAGAGATAATTTTGCTTTATCTTTTTCACATGTACTCGCATTTGAAGAGAGACGAATAAGCCGTGCGAAAGTAAATTCGACGCGTTGCAATCACGCCGAGAGGGCCGCGAAACGAGGGTAGAGTCCAAGAAGGGAGTTGTTTAACGCGGTATCAAGCGGTCGCCGTTAAGCCGGTTTGCGCCACCTAACAGGATCGTTAAAATGACAGTAATGTTTCCAGCGAGAGTCGAAGCGGGACGGATGGATGGACGGAGGAGTCGTACATCAAAATTAACGACCGCCCGCCACTGCCGCCGTCCCGATTCTCCGGTGCACACTCTATCCCTCTGACGAAGTTGTTAATTATCGACACTTCCGCATACGTGCTCTCTCTCTCTCTCTCTCACTCTCTTTGTTCAACTTCCGCGAGATTTAGGTCCCGCGCCTCTCTTCCAACTCTATTAGGAGCTCGCGCTCGAACTTTCGATTCTCTTTAAATGCGGAATAATAAAAACGTTAGTTTTTGTTTTTTTTTTTTTTTTTTTTTTTTTTTCCGCTCAATCGCGGCGATTTGCATCAAACTTAATTTTTTTTTGTCAGGAAAATAATGTATAATTGCTTATTATATGCGTTATTTAAAAGAAAGATAATTAATCAGTTTAAGAAAGCTTTATTGCCATTGTAAAGATAACTCTTCTCACAAAAAGATAAGCGCGCGCATTTAATCCTGGTAACTCTGGTATTATTGCCGGATTATCCGGGAGTAATTTCAACAAAACCGATTCCGTTTGCGGA